TTAATATTAATATTAAATTTTTTAATTTTTTTATGTTTAAATGTTACTATTTTTTTATGTTTAAATGTATTATATTTTGTGTCCAAATGATAACTTTTTTTGTATTGGAATGTTACTATTTTTTATTTTTAATACTACTATATACTCCCTCCGTTCTTAAATATCTGTCGTTTAAGGTTTTTTGCACAAAAATTAAGGAATCTATAAATAGCTCTAATATGAGTAAAAAATAATTGTACAATACTAAAATATATATTATTCAATATGTATTGGGAATGAAAAGAATATAAAAGACACTTAGCCTACACTTAATTTATTAAGTACTTATTAGAAAACAAAAAATAAGGGTAAATTTGGAAGAAAAAATATTAATTATGCTTTGGTTTCATAAAACAACAGATATTGTGGAAAAAAAAATTGGAGAAAACGACAGATATTTAGGAATAGATGGAGTATATATATATATATATATATATATATATGAGAGAGAGAAAATTTTAATGTTAGTCAAACTCTTAACTTATATTTGGATATAAATAGATATGAGAGAGAAAAGATTTTAATGTTAATCAAACTCTTATGATTTAAGAGTTTTAATTTTTAGTTTTATTTCACTTCTAAAGAGAAAGGATAGTATGATAAAATTAACAAAAAACGGATTTCATAATAAATAAGTTTATTTGACGGACTTAAGTTCAAACGAGTCCATATAGAGGGACCAACCTCCAAATTTTCCTATTAAAAACCTTTTACAACCTCTAATTTTTTTGAATTAAAATTAAGTTGTCCAACCAAATTACACCCCAATCCGTACTTCCATTACCCCGCCCCCGGCGGCTTTCTTCACGCACTTTCTTCCGACACTCTCTCTCTATATATATATATATATGTCCAACACCTTGATCATCTTATAAACCCATTGTTATAGAACGCATAGTTTCATATATTTTACAAACGTATATAGCTGAAACTATAATGGAATCTTACTCGTACTCGTACACTTCTTCTTCTTCTTCTTCATCAATTTACCAACGGAAAAAAACGAACGCCAAACCACCACCCGGTTTTCTTTCGTCGCTGCATTCAGTTCGGAAACATCCGGCGAAGATGATGAAGAAACCGATAGCGCCGCTGCCACCTACACCGCCGAAAGTCTACATGGTGGACTATGTCAACTTCAAGGAAGTCGTTCAAAAGCTCACTGGACCGCAGGATCAGTCCCAGCCGCGGCGCCTCCAAGAAGTGGCGCCTCCGCCGCTTAACCTCTCTACAAGTGCCTTTTCAGATGGTCGTGATCTAGAAGGAGCACTGCAGCTCTTCCCTTCTCCGGCTGAGACGCCATTGTCTGCCACCTTTAGGGAAATGATGACAGATACACTTGATGGAAAAACTAGGAATTTTTCGGAGAGTTTTGGAGCACTGAGTCCACTCAGTTTCAGTCTGTCCCCATCTTCTCTTGCATTGTGTTCCAGCCTTCTTATGAGTCCAGGAACTCTATCCTCTTGCGAGCAAGGCACTGTTCTTTAGGTCTTCCATGATTGAAGCAATTAGTTCCCCCTTATTCCTTAGTTTTTATTTCTCTCTCTTCTCCATTTTAGGTCTATATTAAGGGAAATAACACCATACCCAAAAGTAACTTTAGTGTTGCACTTTTTTTTATTTAAAAAAAAATAACTTTAAGAAACTATCAAAAGTTATGGTTTAATCTAGTTTAAGTTTAGATTCAACTAGGACGTAATATGATCCAATAGAATTGTAGTTTTAGGATTTGTCGGTATGGTATAGTAGTAGGTACTATATTTTGCCTTCATTAGGCTACTATGTAGCAAATAAATGAAGTGGGGATAACTGTCATATTGTATATTTTGTTTGTATTGTATCAATAATGGTTGTACTGGTGGTAATTGCCATTCTCTAGAGACCGAAGGGGGAATAGTTGTAAACTAGAGTTACTGCCTCAATGTACTGTAACTTTTTCCAGAGATAATTTAAAATCTTTTGTTTTTATATTGTTCCTTTGTCTGTATAAATGGCATTTGAACTGTTAACCGTTCTCGTCTCAATTGCTTAACCTATTTTAGAGCAATCTGGTGATTGCTTATACTAATTCCTCGTAAACTCATTGTGGGGTTCTTATACAAATTCTTCGTAAACTCATTGTTGGGTTATATTGTAATGGAGGTTGCTACCAGGAGATTCATATCATTGTATCTAATATTTTTGTTCTAGCAATGGGATGGAGAATGAATGTGAGAATGAGACTTTCATTTTCAATCGCCAGTCGGGGCAGAGGCAGGGGCAGGGCCGCATGTTAGCATTAGGGATTGTAATTTTCTGACACAACATAAAAATACGGTTTAAAATCAATGTACAATTAATGAATTAGAGTTGGTAATTTTTCGATATAAATCCGTAAATGACACGACCCGTGAACACGGTTAATAAATGAGTTGGGTTTGTGTTAAATATGAACAACACGAATTTGACACGATTAACATGTTTAAATAATAATAAAATGTCAACTTTTTCTTATATTTTATCAAGTAGTGGCGTAATTCTTGTTCCAAAAAAGATATATTTACTCATTTTTATTATTATATTTACTAAGTTAATTTTTAATTTATAGGAAAAGTATGAGTATAAGTTCGATTAAGTGATAATGAAATTTTAGACTTAAATATGAGCGTTAAATTTTTTTTATTCACCAATTATATGAGTCAATACAAACACGATACAAAAACAAATAGATCAAGCCGATGTCACACGATTAATTAAATGAGTTAGATTAAACTTAACTAATACTTAACCTAAATCTAAAATGACACGACGCGTTATTACTCCTACTCCTAGTTAGCATGGGTACCTATGGTGAAATTAGGAGTTGTTTTCAATGAATAGAACGATAAACGACCATCCCTTCATTGTAGTAGGTTCAAATAAAAAAAATCAACACTTTTTAGCTTAGGTAAAATTACCTATCCGTTATCTCTTCTAGATGGATGGTCCACTTGATGCTATCTACCTTTCCCTAAAATAAAAGTCTAACACTAATATTATTGGAATATATTTAAGAGACATAATTGGAAGATATAATAAAATTGTGACCAGTGATAATTGATGATAGTGAAATACATTTAACAATCAAATTGATTGTAGTATTAAATACATTTTACTATCACTCAATTGGTCACAATACATTATATTTTCAAATTATGTTCAAATAACATTACTTAAAGACAGGCTAACATGGCTTAGTTCAAAGTCGAACTATTTTATTTTTATTTTATAGAACCTAAGCACAATGTTTTGAAAGCACATTGTTTACAAAAACACCCATTTGTTTTTTATTCTTAAAAAAGAAGAAATTGTTCAACGTTCCCTAAAGAAGCTTAAGTCATGTTTGGTTTGTGATCCAGAAATAGTTTTTTGTTCTTAAAATTTTAAAATTACCAAAAAATTGTTTATTTAACATTTTTGTTCTCAAAATTTTGAGAAAAAATAAGATTGGGTCAAAAAAACAAAAAACAAGTCTAGCTTGTTTTCAAAGTTTTCTTTGAAAAATTTGAAAACAAAAAGAACAACTTTGAGGCTTTAATGAGGTCTGCCCTTCGAGTCCCTTTAGCAGCAAAAATCTTCATTCCTTCTTGTTTTTTTTTCCCTCTCTCTCTCCATCGTCTTCTTCTCCGGTGTCCTCCAATGTCCTCCATCTCCTCGCTGTCTCTCTTCTCGATGATTATCTGTGCAACCCTATCTTCAACTTTCACCTCAAAATCAACATCTGAATGGTTGAACAGGATCGCCCCAACTGGGCCTCTATAATCAACATCGATTACACCAACCCCAACATCTATCGAATGCTTCTAGGCCAAACCTGATCGCAGTGCTACAAATCCACATAAACCTATCTCCTTTCTCTTTCTCTGTGCAAATCACACAACTCATCTCCTTTCTCTCTCTCTTTGCAACAAATTTGTGTATATATATATATATATATATATCTATGTTCAAATCTGTCTATATACACAGATCATTGTGTATATATATGTGTGTGTGTGTGTGTGTTCTCTCTCTATCTCGTGGGTGTGTATGTTTGTGTTGTGTGAGAAGACAATGGAGAGAGATGTTGAGAAAAGATATGTACTCGTGGGTGTGTGTATTTTACAATATTGTTAGATTATTGTCCAAACAGGTTTTCCTATATTTTGTACTTTAAAACTATTTTCAAAACCATATAATCAAATAAATTTTGTAATATAAAAATATCAAAAAACACTTTTTCAAAACTCTTCTCAAAAATTAATTTTGAATACTATTTTTAGATATTCTAATCAGACACGCCCTTAAAATTACTTTAAAACTATTTTCAAAACCATATAACCAAATAAATTTTGTAATACAAAAATATCAAAAAACACTTTTTCAAAACTCTTCTCAAAAATTAATTTTGAATACTATTTTTAGATATTCAAATCAAACACGCCCGTAAAATTACTTTAAAAATATTTTCAAAACCATATAACCAAATAAATTTGGTAATACAAAAATATCAAAAAACACTTTTTCAAAACTCTTCTCAAAAATTAATTTTGAATACTATTTTTAGATATTCAAATCAAACACGCCGGTAAAATTCTTTTGATTCGGTTTTTGTAAAAACAATGAACCTGGGTAACTTCCATCACACCTCATTGAAAATCACCACCACGTGCCTACTACCTGCCCAGCTGGCTTTGAGTGACATTGAAATTGAATCCTTCAATGACCAAACATAATAAATAAATAACAAAAATCAATGGTTTGCCTTGCATGATTAGACAGAATTTGGGTCATACTAAAAAATTATTTCTCAATAGCACACCAAAAAATTTATACAAAATAAAAAGAAAAGTTACAAGTCAATTGAGTAAGCTTGTAACAAAGTAATATTACTGGGGATTTACTGAATTGAGTTTTAACTCGACCCATAAATTGTATGGTAACTCCTTCGATCCCGCAACTTTACAAAGAATTTGAGTAGTAGTACATGATCCTGAGGTCGAATCTATGTTCGGCAGGGGCTTTCAATAGCAGCTTCCACCATTGGACCACTTTGGGGACACATCCAGTCCAACTAGTCTATTTTCCCAAAAACAGCAAACAGAGGATTAATATAGGTCCGGCAACAATATAGTCTGCCCACACTGCTGTCCTGACGACAATTCCAACAGCGTTGTCTGTTTTGGAAAAGGTGTAAGTCTTAATAACCTCAATTATTGGAAGAACTACTGCACCCTGGTCATCAGTACACAAACATGGCGGGATTAATATGACATGAGCAATATATATTTAATGCAAAATCTGCATTTGACCAAAACTTCATCTTCAGGAAGGAGTCAGCTGACATTGAATACCGAAATTTGGCAAGGAAATACTAAAAAGTCAATGCGGGTTAGGCTCGCGTTCAATCCTATAGGAATTGGAGGATCTTCCAATTCTGTCTTTGAGTGGCTATGATTTTTACAAACTGGAAAATTTAGTTGATTTTGAATTTTCAAGTTTTAAGAAACTTTTTGAATCAATTGAATCTGCTTATGTGTACAGCAGAATTGAAAGATCCTCTGATTCTTGTGAAATTAGAGCAGAGCCAACCCAGGTAATGCAATCTTTACAAATAACATGCAATGAGATCTCAAAATTCCAACATCCACAAGTCTCTGTGCAGTTCAACTTGAGATAAATTACAATCATCCTTGCACAAAGTACCTTTTGTCATACTTCAAGCATTAAGTCATTAGTCTTCTGCCTCTAGCCCCTAGATGAATAAGGGATTATTGGCTTTGCCATTAAGTGACCTCCCTCAAGTTTGAAACCCAAAACCTCCAACTTCCTCAACATATGGTCCCTTGTGAATATGTAAGTGCATGATAAGCAATTATTAAGTGGTTGGCAAGAGGATGACATGTGATCAATATCCAACACATGAATAATAGACCTTGACATCATGTCATTAATGGGCATACTTAGACCGATAAGAAGTTTGAAGAGTCTAGGAGAAAAACCGTCTACTCAAGGCATGAGGTGGAATGGAAAAAAGGAAGAGCCATCTGCATATTGGAATGTGCTTCTAATTCCTATTTGGTTGAAGGCAACAATCAAGTCCTCGGACTCGGTCAAGAATGTGACGAAAGTAATGCTACTGTTGTAGAGCCATTCAGAGGAAGAACATTGGATAAATTTCTGAAGGTTCATTATTATATTTAGTCGATGACATCCAAGGTGATCCAATATTGATGCATGTATTAGAAACTATAGTAAAAGAGCCCCACAATTTCAATTTCCGAAAACTCTGCCCACAAGAGATGGATTCACAACATTGACTCTCTCTCTCTCTCTCTCTCTCTCTCTCTCTCTCATACAAGAGACCACCAAAATTGAATTCTAAAGACAGCAGAACAGCATGAGTGGACTTTGAAGCAGATATAAAAAGATTTCGACTATATTGATTAAAAACTATCTAAATTTTACAAAGTAATTTGGCCATGACTTTCACAAACATTCAAGAGAAACGACAGAAATCATAAAAGGTCGGATCCTTAAAATCCCTGAATTATGTTGTTACCTTCTTTGGAAGAGAAATATCAGGCAGGTGTTCTGATCGGGAGCCTAGTTATCCCAGTAGTTCCTAAGTTGTGACATATGCAAAAGAAGCTCATCCCTGCCCAAACCGGTGGCACTGCTAGTCATGATCCATGGAGGATGCTCCCGGTAGTTTTGTCTGATCAACTCTTGAAAATTCCTGATGTTCTCATCAGGCCTTTTACCTTTGCCTCCTTTCATTTTGTCACATTTTGTAAAAACAAACGTCACTGGTATCTGAAAGATAGGTTGAAGAAGGCAGGAAAACCATGAGAATAAATGGAAAAGAGAGATAGCCTTTGGCTGAGGGTACTAGTAATGATAGAGTTATCAAAAGTCCTTAGAATTTAGAGAGCAATACACTGTTCCGTCCAAGCCAATTAGCACAGTCAAGATCAATTTTTTGAGGTGGTACACTAGCGTCAATTAAAAGTAGGACAGCAACCAAAGTGTCTCTGTTCAAAAAATAGCCTTTGGTGAACGAGGACCAATCCATTCTTGCAGCTTCAGGGGCATTTGCAAAACTGCAAACAAAGAGGATTCTAATAAGATATAGAGATCAGTTACACCGCTAAGCACCAAATTGCCGACAGGTAATCCATGACATCACAGAAACTCTACATACATATTTATGGAGAAATGAACGAAACAATGGCATATTCAAGCAACACAAGTTGCTTCAGTCATTTATATATCCTTCCTGGACACTTAGGAAATCGGCACTATTAGTATCAACTAAGCCCTTGCATCATATTTCTCGTGAAATCACAAATCAAATATGAACTTAGACAATGAAAGACCAACAACTTTTTATATCGTCCATCTTGACACTCAAAAAGAGGCAGGTGGTGGTTGTGGTCCTACTAACCAAGGACAGGATTAATGTCACCAGAAAAATAATAGCTAGTTGAAACAATATACCGAGAAAAACCCATCATCAGTGAACAGAGTGCGCTACATGTGAACAGGACATGTCACGTGCTGCTTCAGAAACTACATCAAAAGGATAATTATTGGACTCAAAGGAAAACTGGGCAGCTAAATGGTCAACAAACAGAACACCAACAAAAACAAGTGAACTAAAAGGGCTGAAAAAGGCAAGACTACATAATTAAATTCTCTTAATTAATAAATTAGAATGCCCACACCTAATCATGGATGATCAGGGCAAAAGCACTGTTTTGTTCACAATGCCAGATCTGACCTTTTAGGGTACTGGGGCCTCCAAAGTCAAAAGAACATTGCAGTGAATTGACAGCTAAAATAGATAATATCCACATAATTCTGAACGTTGGATCCTGAAAAACAACTTAAAATAGTATAGAATAAAACAGTAATTCTACTTCTTATAATTTAACAAAAAGGAGATGTGACAAATGATGAAGCAGCCGAAAAATGAAAAAAATATTGAAACCAAACCAGTAGGCCAGCAATACAATGCGAGACCACAGCCTCGTAAGGGATCTCTTTCCTCAGACATGCACAGACTGTTAAAGATAACTCCACATGCATGCTCTCTGACACTCGAATATTGGTGTATAGGATGGGCCACCCATCAGGAACAAGCACTCAATTAGCAAAAAGAATGGCTCAACACCAACCTGTAGTAATAGGATGGAAATGCTAGATTATAAGGTATCTACTCTCCTATTGTATCAACACCATATATTTTCCACGACCATTCCCCAAAATAGAAAAGGAGGAGGGACTTAATAAGTAAGTAGCCAAAGAAACTCAAACTTCCTGGACTGGCACTCTATGGAGTCCCCTAATTTAACAAATTAATTGAGTGTGTATATACCTGCATTTCAAAAACATACAGAAATGACCTCCAAGTAATGGTAATTTTAACCTTAAAGAAAACCAACAACAATACCTCCACTTTGTTTTACCCAAACTTCATCCTGGTCATGAATAGATCACCCAAGTTCGGGTCCATAACTAGTGACAATTGCCCTATAAAGACTCACTTTCGCTATGGCTCCAGTGGGTTTACTTAACCAAGCAACTGCCTATGAGTTGTTGGCTCATTCTTCAACAGGCATGCGGTTAGATCCCAATTGCTTTGCATAACAAACAATAAATTGACTCACTACCAGACATATGGCCCTCTGTTAGAAAATGAAGAATGCAGAGATCACAGAGAAAGAGGGAGAGAGATAGAGATGAAAAGAAAGCATCATTCTCATTGAATTGAAAGTCGATTCCAGCTCCTATTTGTATACAAAAAAAACTGAATTAAATATCTAACAAACTTCTGTAACTAATCTAACTAACTAATTCTTCTTCCTTCTTCTGTTGTCAGCTGCTATGACCGCCTCTGCTTTGTTCTGCTATATTCTTCAATAGTCCCCCTCAAGATGGAGAGTGGATATCAAGCACTCCCATCTTGCTTAACAAAATATGGAACTGATGAACTCCAAGAGGCTAAGTAAAAATGTCACTATACTGATGAATAGAGGTAATATGAAGAGTCTTGATAATGCCAGCCTGAACTTTGTCACGAATAAAGTGACAATCGAGTTCAATGTGTTTAGTACACTCGTGGAAGATTGGATTAGCTGCAATATGTAGAGCAGCTATGTTGTCACAGAAAAGCAAAGTGGTTGGGGGTGAGAAATCTGAAAGTCAGCAAGCAAAGCAAGAAGCCAAAGTGAGTTCACAAGCAGTCGTGGCCATGGCTCTATATTCTGCTTCTGCAGAAGACCGAGAAACAGTAACTTGCTTCTTGGACTTCCAAGAGATAAGGGAGTCTCCAAGAAAAATGTAAAATCCAGTGACAGATTTGCAAGAATCAGGACAACCTGCCCAATCTGCATCACAAAATCCTTTAAGATACAGTGCAGAAGTAGCAGAGAAGAAAAGACCTTGAGCAGGAGAGGTCTTGAGATAACGCAGAACCCGATAGGCTGCATCAAGATGAGGTTGCTTAGGCTGATCCATGAACTGACAGAGCACTTGAATAACATAGGAAATGTCAGGACGAGTGAGAGTGAGATACAACAATCTTCCTACCATTCGTCTATAGATAAAAGGATCTGCTAAAGTTGGACCATCATCTCTATGAAGCTTTAAATGTTGTTCCATAGGAGACTTAGCTGGTTTAGAACCAAGAAGATCAGAATCTTGTAAAATTTCAAGTGCAAATTTCCTTTGACAAACAGAAATCCCTTTGGAAGATCTAGCTATTTCCAGACCTAAAAAAAACTTTAGGTTGCCAAGATCTTTGATGTGAAGCTTACTGTTAAGAAAAAGCTTAACATCATTAGCTGTAAGAAGATCATCAGTGGCAATAACAATGTCATCAACATAGACTAATAATGCCAGGTAACTAGAACCAGTTGACTTGGTAAAGAGAGAATAATCTGACTTGGATTGTGAGAAGTCATAAGAGAGAAGAGCAGTAGACAGCTTAAAGAACCACTATCTGGAAGCCTGCTTAAGGCTATAAAGAGACTTATTTAGCAAACAAACTTGATTGTCCCCCTGTCGATCATAACCAGGAGGGATCTTCATATATACTTCTTCATCTAAGTCTCCATGAAAAAAAGTATTGTGAACATCCATTTGGAACAAATGCCACCCCTTGATGGCAGATACTGCTAGGAGACATCGGATAGTAGAAAATATGTTTCTAGATAATCCAAACCTTCTTGCTGTGTATATCCTTTAGCCACAACCTATTGGTTTATGTGCTCCATTTAGCCACAAGCCTTGCTTTATAACGTTCGATGGTCCCATCTGCTTTATATTTGATTTTGTAGACCCATTTACAACCTATTGGTTGTTTTCCTGGAGGTAAAGTAGTGATAGTCCAAGTGTTATTGGACTCAAGAGCTTGAATCTCAGCCTTCATTGCCTCACACCAGTCAGGAGATTTAACAACCTCGTGAAAATATTATGGTTCTAGATGACAAGAGATTGTTAGACTAAAAATGCGATGCGGAGAGGATAATTTGTGATAGGACAAAAATTGAGAAAGAGCATGAGAAGTAACTATAGACTGCTTGGAACAACTAGGGAGGATGAATGGGATGTGTGAGAAGCAAGAAGATTGCAATGGTAATCTTGCAAGTAACTAGGAGATTTCCTTGGTCTAATTGAATGTATAGTGGTATTGGGAATAGAAATGATGTCAGAAGAATAAGAAAGTACTATATCAGAAATAGGAGAAAAAAAAACTTCATCAGTAGTAGAAGTAGGTGCTGCTGGCAAATCATTGTTAGAAATGGCAGAAGGCAAAACCAATGATTCTGCATCAGAGGAAGGCTCTATGTTCTGCAATGAGAAAGGAAAAATAGTTTCATAGAAGATAACATCTCTGGACAAAAAAACTGAATGAGTTTGGAGATCAAACAGTTTATAGGCTTTGCTAGCTAATGCATTGCCAATGAAAGCACATTGCTTGGCTCTAGAATCAAATTTGGATCTATATCTTTTAAGAGTTAAAGCATAACATAAACAGCCAAAGACTCTTAAATGAGAATATGAAGGTTTGTGAGAAAATAGAACCTCAAATGGTGACTTTCCAGAAAGAAAATGAAATAGAATTCTGTTAATGAGATAAGCAGCAGTTAAAACACAATCACCCCAAAAAAAATTGGAAGATTTGCTTGAAAACGAAGTGCTCTAGCTACTTTCAAAAGATGTTGATGTTTCCTTTCCACAACCCCATTTTGTTATGGTGTGTCAACACAACTCAATTGATGAATAATGCCTTTAAAAGAAAAGAAAGCAATCATGACAAATTCTTGACCATTGTCAGATCGGATAACTTTGATTTTGGGATTAAATTGAGTTTCTACAAGAGCATAAAACGACATTATCAAAGACTGTGTTTCAGATTTAGTTTTCATGAGATAAACCCAAGTATACCTAGTAAAATCATCAACAATTGTAAGAAAGTCATGTGCTCCATTTATAGGAGTAAGATAAGGTCCCCAAATGTCACAATGGATGATTTCAAAAGGTACTGGTATTTTACTAGTACTGATTGGAAAAGACAACATATTCTGCTTAATATAATGACAAATGCTACAATGAGTATCACTAGAATTTGAAATTTCAGGGACTGTTCTTTATAAAGAATCTAGTCTTTTTTGAGATAAGTGTCTCAATCGAAAATGCCACAGATGTGAAGATACATCTGTGTTACATTGAATAGAAGAAACAGTAGAAACTTTTTGTGGTTGTGTTCTCAGCAGAAAATACAGCCCTCTGCTTTCTTTACCCACCCCAATTGTCCTCCATGTTAACAGGTCCTGTATGAAGCAATGACCATGAAGAAATAAAAAACAAGAAGAAATTTGTTGCGATAGTTTGCTAGTGGAAAGAAGATTGTATTTGAAAGAATGCACACAAAGGACATTAGTCAATATAAGGGAATCAGAAATTTAACCGTGCCTGTATGAGTTATGTTAAGAGTTTTAGGGTAGTATATATAAATTGTTAATAGTGTTAGGGTATTATGTGTAAATACAAGAGGGTGTGTATGTGCAATTCTTATAATTATGAGTTACCAATAAATACAAGTGATGTATCAGGGCTAAGTTAAGTTTTTAACCTTTCTCTATTTCTCCCAAAATATTGTCTTTAATATTATTATGTTAATCTTCCAAACTTAATATGGTATCAAAGCAATACGATCCTAAATACAAATTTTAGCGTGAATTTGTGTTGAGAAAATTACCTTGGTTGGTGGTGTTACTGTTGGGGTGCCACTGTCGAAGTTCAGACATTGTGGTGGTGTGGTGGCTTCTACAGTGGTGTTGTGGTGTTGCGGTGTTGTGGCTTCTGCAGGTGGAGTGGTATCGTAGTGTTGTCGGGGCCTTTAGTCGACTGTGGTGGACGTGTGGTGGTCACTATGGTGCTGCGGTGGTGTGGTGTGTAACGCCATCAAAGACTAGGCCTCTGGGAACACATGTGGTGGTCGCAGTGGTGCTGCGGTGGTGTGGTGTGTGACGCCGTCGAAGACCAGGCCACTGGGAACCCTAATTTTAATGAAGAAGAGATCCAACAGGTTGGATCAAATCGGGTCAAGCCCATTATTTTAAGTTCAACCCACGGTTCAACCCAAGACTTGGTCCAGCTTAGACAGGTTCAACGGTCCAGAGCCCCTATCTGGTTCGGTTCAGCAGTCCAGAGCCCCTATCCGGTCCAGTTCAATGGTCCAGCCCCCTATCTTGACCGGTTCAGCAGTCCAGGACCTTTTTCAGTCCAGTTCATTGGTCTAGCCCTCCTATCTTTACCGGTTCAGCGATCCAGTCTCCCTTTTTCTTTTGGTTCAGCATACAAGGTCCATTTATTATGGAACCCAAGCAAGACACAAGGTCCATTACTCTATCTTTGTCCCCTCTAACTCTTATTAATGGTCCCATGACCTCTGTTAAACTCAATAGAACCAATTATACTTTATGGTCTCGATCTATTCAAGTCTTTCTTCAAGGTAAAGGATTTAAGAAATATTTGGTGAGTCTTAAACCCAAAGAAGATACTCCTGGGTATGATCAGTG